AAAAAAAAAAAAAAAAAAAAAAAAAAAAAAAAAAAAAAAAAAAAAAAAAAAAAAAAAAAAAAAAAAAAAAAAAAAAACTCAAATTATAAATAACCATCATTCACTGGAACCAAATTACACTGACAAAATTGACATTGAAGCAAAGTCCAAATTAAAAGTTTTAAAACCATAAAAAAAAAAAAAGAATTATATCCAACTTGTGAGGCCAAACCAATTTCAAAACGCATCACGAAAAACAAACACAGCTATCAATTTTTATATTTAAGATGATAATATTGTAATTTTAAGTTCCCCACCGTGGAATAAAACATTTTTGTCCTTGATGAAAGAGAAGAGAGTGATTGATAAAGAATAGGACGCACCAGTTGAAAATTAAGTCTATTGAGAGTTACTGGCAAGTTGGAAGTAGATATTAAGGAATGATCCCAAACTTGCTGGCCTGCCATTACCAATATCATATTCAAACACACAGATAAAATACAATTTCTGTATTTTAATAAACAGGCATGCTCACACCACAGGAAAGAAAAGAAAGTGGATTCAACCTGGAAAGTTATCTAGTCAGAAAATTTGGTCACACCAGGAGTCATAAACAATTGGTAAGAAAAAGGTTAGTTGTTCATAAACTCTACTTAAAAAATTAAACTATGTCCATTTAAGGTCACTTTTTAAAAAATGCATTTTTAAAATCTTGATCAAATTTAAAAATTAAAAACACAACTATGAATTCTTGAAAACTTAACATTTGAAAATAAATTATAAAAACAAATATCAGAGGCCAGACCCCAAGTTATGAAAATTTAGTAAAGAGTTCATCAAACCTTCAAAAAGAAATTAAAAAAAAAAAAAAAAAACAAACAAACAAAGAAAACGCAAGCATTATTTTTTCAAAATAGAAATCCGGAAACAATTTTTCATCAAATCGGATACCAATAATTTTTCTTCAGTCTCAAGAACTTCGAAATAAAAAGGTTGTGTTCATGACAGAAGGTTGTTCATGGATTAACCACGCAAACAGAAAAATATTCAGACAAGTCATGCATGCAACAGGTGAAGGCGGTGAAAGAAAATAATTACAAGGAGATACGTGCATATGTAAATCATATCCTTAGAGCCACACACAAATGACTAGAAAGAGTAATACTTACCTACTACCGAGGTCCAGCAATTTGTTTAGCCCAATCTAGTACAACAGGAAAAAAAACTTGTGAGTCCAGCTAGCAGCGAAGTATTATTACTCAGCTAAGAGCTTCTCCCACCATAATTGTATCCCCGTCTCAAGTTATTTGAGACCCAGAAATTCTCACCACTTCTAATGCCATAGCCAACGTTGCCGCGCATTTGTGGAATGTCGCCGCTTGTCTGCATAAAGCCGTTTTATTCTAAAGAATCTCTTTAAGTTACCTGCCATCAGAGCAGAAATATACCAGATAAACAAAATAAGACAAAACCTCAGCGCCAAATTTCATTGGCCTAGATAACCGGTTGTGTCTATTCCTTGATCTGCGTTCAAGAGAATTGGAAATTGCATTAGAATACATTCTTGTTATATGCAGGCAGCATAGAGAAACGCAACAGAAGAGGAACGTAAACCATGAAATGTATGATATTATTCCAAGCCATACCTTAGCACCAGGTAGCGTCCAATGTCTTTCTCCCCCATGATAAAAATAATCGCGTTGTTCACTGTAAACTCTGAAAGTTCCCTTTGCTTTGCTTTGCTTTTCCAAGACAATCCCACGTCCTTCTCGAACTCCTCATTCGTGGCTTGAAAATCAAATTATTCAGTGAACTACAATTTGAAGATCATGGAGACCATGTCAATAAACTACTGGTGAGCACAACAATTTAGAATTTACAGTGTTTTCAAAATGTTAATGATACATAAATTGAAGTACTTGGTGGCAAACAATAGTCTATATTAAAAGATACAAGGATTTTCAGTTATATCCATGGAATAACATTGTATCAGTTCCACATGATATATGTGTGTGTGTGAAGTAGCTTTTAGGTTATAAAAAAAAATACCACCAACTGATGTTTAAATAAGGTGTAGACTTCAAATCTACTTGTTCGAGAAGAATAAAAAAAATATCAATATTTAGCTCAAATAGACCAAATGATGTGGTTTAACTAAAAGAAACTAGAAAGTCGTTATATGAAAATAATTTTGAAAACTGTATAAAGCACCAAACCTGTTGAGCAGGTGTCTCTCTCGGAGATAGTAACGAGGGTGCTTAATGTTCTAAAGCAGCAATTGATAACAAAGAATTACAAGGAAAATATGTGGAAGCACCCAAGTTTCTTGCACCAACACAGTCTTTTTGTGGAGGAAAGTACGTCTGCCAAAGACTGATAATTGAAAAGGAGTTAATGAGGATGCTGGCAATGCAAGCAATGGACCTGAACCCGAAAAAGAAGGTTATTCAGAACAGACTGCCAGGAAAGAGTTGATGGTGAGTAGAATATAGGTTTATCCGAAATTTAAGCTTTGGATTTGCCAATCTCTTGCCAAATTGGAGGAAAGGAACAAGTAGATGTCATTACTGTTGAATGGGATGGTGAACAAACATCAAGCAAAACATGGTTGTTAACTATAAATTGGCTGATTAAAAAAATTAGATATGATACAGGATCAAACACATGCACAATCTGAGTTTTTAGCAAATCCCAAGTCAATATTTAAATGATTTTGATGAGTCCGTTACTTCTGTTGCCAGTTGAAATGATGAAGTACTTGGAAGACTGAAATATAAAGTGATTTTCCATTGTTTTCCTTTTTTCCTCCGATGCAGAAAATGACAGAAACCAGTGTTTTCCAAGGACAATGAATAAACTATGTATATTGTTACATCATACCTGCAGCTACAGATTGATATGCAGACCACCTGCTAGGATACTGTCCATTATTAAAAGCCAGAGTATCCTGGCACTGTTTTGAGACCATCAATATTTCACGTCCAACTGAAGCAGACAGAGGTGAAGTCGAGACCGCAGCATGATTTGACTGCATTGGAAAAGCTGAATGAGATTTCCTTTTTCATGTTATACTGTGCTAATTCTTTACGTAATAGACAAACAAGAGTATCTGGACCACAGCAGAACCATCATGAATCTGCTGGTCTGTGTTACCAAATGAGGGGGGCCAGAATTGCAGATCCTAGTATAATAGTAACACTTTCTAAAATATATTCAGACTATATCAAATAGTATTAGTTTAAACAATGTCCATCGAAAACTGGCGCAATAGTGTGCGCATACCCCTATAAAAATGCAGTTCTAACGTTGATTTCTTGTTTTTTTTTTTTTTTTTTTTTTT